GCAAATTCAAGCGCTCGACTCGGCTCGAACAATCGAAGCGAGTTCAGCTCGACTTGTAAATTACGAACAGCATATGGAAATATCAGGACTCTCCCTAGTCTCTCCCTGAGTTCCCTCAAGCTCAAAGAAGTAGTAGACTGCTTCTCCCCTTACGTTTACCCTTAACCAAAAGAAGCCTACGTGAGCGTAAACTGAAAGATTGTATTAATTCAAGAAGAGATTAATTTCTAGATAAAACTGATGTCATGTCGAAAAATTAATTATTCTTATCGCGTGACTGAACTTTGATAAATCGTACTTATCGATGATTATCACCATTCCTGACGATGTACCCAGATCGCAAGCTGCGGCAGAGGAAAAGCACTCGACAAACCAAAACCAGGTTTAAACGCCTCGGGGTGCGACGATCAGCTTTGATTTTAATGTAAATTACCAGACTCCAGCAGTGCTCGCTCGTACGCTTCGGTATATAAATAAAACGTTCAAGTGAATTAATGCCGGTTCCTAGAAAGGACACTAATATACATCAGAATCTTATTTTTCTTAGCCAATTAAAGAGGGTAACAAATTACCCGAATATAAATAAATGTTAATTAAAGTGTCTCGATTGAAATGGAGAGATCCTAATGAATCGGTTTTATTCGTTAACTTTTCATAGTTTATTTCCCTCTTCGTGTCTGCTCGCTTTTATAAATCATTTATATATTTATTTAACAGTAGAAGATTTCAACTAGATGCAAATTTGAAACTGATCTCTAACTAATGGTAGAATATTTATTAATATCAGTTAAATGACGAAGTTATAAATGGTATAGAATTAAAGTAGAATTATAAATGCAGTTCAAATTAATTCATTTTGCAATAACTGAAATGTTGCTCATTACTTATGTTTAATTGCTATAATAAACACCGATAGAGAATTAATTTTGATTTTATTGATATATTTATAAACGTACGTTGAAATAATCAAGCGAGGTAGAATAATGTTGTGTCTTAAGCACAAAGTCAATTAACATGATTCATTTTGAAGCAACACTTCAAGGTATGACGTGTTTTTACGTTTTTCTTTATGCCACCGACTTCCTTTCGCTTGACGATTTAATCCTACCGGAGGGTTACGAACTAATAAACGTCCCTGTTCAAAGAACACGTTGCTAACGCGAAGGCAATGCGTTACGTTGGACAATAATTTGTCAGTTTCTTGCGTGCCATGATTTACGTTTGATCGATGTTTCGTGGCACGTCATCCGCGATCGTTTAAATGGTAGCACGTTCGAATCCTTGTCCGGAATGATTATTAATGACTGGTATCATATGCGCCTATACAGTGGCCGAACATCGATTAACGGTCTGAAGAGCTCAATGATACATGAGAAGTACTTTAGACGATGATTAACACCGTCAGTCCTTAAATGTGATTTGTACTGCTCGGATAGAACGTGAAATTGTTTAGTCTACACGAACAGGGTAAGTCGTGATAATTTTGGCACTGAACTAATTATTGACACTTGCAACTTTAATCAGGATTCATAAGTGTTGACACATTTTTTATTTAATATCATAATTTTTAATTATGTAACCATTTCTCCTAGAACGTTGATTGCCATCGGTGGTTATTATGCCCTGCACCTCAGATTCTAAATAATGGAATAATTACTTAAAAAAATAAGAGATTGCGAATTTTCAATGTGGTCAGAATTATACTAACAATGCAAGATATCGATCTAGAAGCTTAAATTTTCTTAGCACTTCCACTGTGCCGGTTAAAATCTTAGGAAAGTCCACGATTCTCGGTACTGTACATGAGAATAATTTGTCGAGACAGTGACGCACAGTTGAAAAAGATAACTTTCAACCAGGAACTACTCTTTTATTGAACCGTAGGGAGTCCGATTACACGGCCAGATATTGGTCAAACGAATAGTGCAATAAATATACTTCATTAAAAATAATCAAGAGCATTAAGCTACAATGCTATCTAAATGATCTTTCTAATTCATTAGTAATACTTCCGCGTTCAGGTTGGGTTCCGCATGAAACGCATTGTTTTTACTAACCAGGGACGAAATTTTGTGGCAACGATTGAAACTAATCAGCTAAAGCAGCAGGATCAGATTTAACTGCATTCATTCGATACCTGTAGTGTAGCTTTTTACGGTTAATCAGACATACGCGTTCCACTCGAGTAATCCCGCTTTGAGTGACATATCCAATTTGCTTTTATCGAAATCTCCTCGAGAAATCATAAAAAGATTTTCTGAGACATAGTTGCATCCTTTTTTTTCGGAATCTTACATATCGGTTCTACCGCAGAGTGGTATATAAACGTAGAGTATTAAAGCTTCACAGGCAATTCCCTTTGGTTTATGGTGTATTTAGTGTTCGGCCTATGGCTGTTTCATTGACCATACGTTGCCGTAGCTACTCGTCGAGGAGGCTGTAAAACAAGACACACGATCTGCTACACCAATGCTTTGTTTCATTTCTTTTTTTACGCTACATTGTACACGAATAGTAGCAAATATGTAATCGCTTTATACCTCCTTGACGAATTTTTTTACCTATTCTTATATTTTCTTTTGTACCGTGAAAGAAATAGGGGTAAGGCAACAGAATTAAAAAAATATACAGCGAGAGGCATACCTCAAAATAGAATACCACGGTTAAAATTGGACTAACTTGAGGTTTTTTGAGAAGCTATAAAAATTAATTCACTAAAATATGTATTTTCATCGTTTTAAAAAATTACAATTACTTATGTTCTTATATGAAAAGTCGCGATTTTCGGAAAATTTAATTACTTATAACTTTTAAATGCGTTGACCGATCTCGATGAGATTTTCAGCATACACATAACTTATCTGCATCTACGAAAGACATATTTTAAATTTTCATTATAGGCTCATATAAAAAAGTTGAAAAATTACCATTCACTATTTTTTTTCATCATTTCAACAAATTGTAATTTTTTAAAACGATAAAAATCCATATTTTAGTGAATTAATTTTTATAGCTTCTCAAAAAACCTCAAGTTATTTAGTCGGATTTTAATCGAGGTATTCTATTTTGAACAGTGTCCACTTATTTTTGTCTTCCACTGTATATATAATATTGTCTATAGACAATATTGCTTTTTCCAAATAAGCGTAAGAAATAACAGTGTTTTCAGACAGGAACACACTCAAGTACACGTGTCTATACACACGACGCGGTAGATGAATTCGTGTATTGGCCGAGTGTTGCGTGTCCCACATCGTTACTCGCTTGAACGTTGTCACGAGTTCATCTGGATCATGTAGCCATCCCACTTAATTTCCCTTCTAGAAAAGTTTCGTTTACACGCTAGTGGACGAACAAATCACCGCCCGCTGCGATTTGCCATAATTAGCATACGATCCTGCCTACGCGTCGCGTCGCGTCGCGCCGGGAGAGTTTCTTTCGTTAGATGCACCGCGCAGCTGCATCCTGCTCTATTCTTTCTATGCACAGAATCCCTAAAATGCATTGTGACGAACTTGATAGAAATTTCAAAAATTGAATTTTTAAATTAGAGAAAGAGAATAATGATTATTCAATTCGTGTGTAAGAATTCTTAAAAACGAAGCAGGTATAAGAATGATAATTCAAGAATAAGATAAATAAATATGAATAGTATACTTTCAAGTGGTGGGGGTAAGAGTTTTTATGGGAAGACAGAAGGTTTGGTGAAACAGTTTCCACGAAGAATTCAAAGGATCAGTTTGCCAGGGAAATGAAACAATGGGGTGAGTAATATACGTTTGTTTTAAAATATGTATTTTACTGGTAAAGAAAATGGTAGTCTAAAAATTGATTAACACGATTCCCGTGTTAACCGTTCCTGTATTCTCTCACTTTTCTCCTTCTCTCTATTCCCCATAAACTTCTCGCGTGTCGCGGTCACGTTGCATTAATAATTCATTTCCGCGTGTTGTGCGTATTTCGTGTATCACGCGAATAATCAATTAATTTCCTTGGAAATAGGTTTTACCGTGATGCCTCGTAAAATTCTACCACGCGCTGCTATTAAACGTTCGTTCCGCCCATTACTCTCCTTTAACATTTTTTTCCATCACGTCTTATGATATTGTTTTTTTATGGTTCGCTATAAAATCGAACGGAAAAGCGGATTGTCATCGAGGTACGATTTTTCTAAGGATTGGTAGCGGTTACAATAGGAAGTGGTTACCGGATACCGGTAACCATAAGGCCATTGTAAGTCAAATCGATGCACGCGAAGTGCTTTCGAAACTCGCTAGCTCCTCCCACTTTAGAAAATAAATAATAAGTGGAGCACGTAAGCGGCAGTCCGCGTTGTTCGTGAGGCGATACGGAAGCTGCTTTAGCGACGGTACATATTTTCGCTTACATAAGAGAAAGGATATTCTTTCCTTCTTTTTCATTCAGCATAAAAGACGTCTACATTAAATAGATATTTTAACAAACATTATCATGGCAAAATTATGCATCCCTATCGTATTTTTATAAAATATATATATATATATATATTTCATCCACCCACTCTCGAGTGAAACTTCTCAATTTTTATCTTTAATATGGTTAAAATACAATATTTTCCAAATAAAAGTGGTAAGAACAAATTTAATTAAAATTTTAAAAAGAGATAATTCATGTTGTTTTTAATTAGGAGAATCTAATACAGAGTGCTAATGATATATTGTATATACGTATAAGAGAAGTGATCGAAAGAAACGCATCGGCTTAGGATGAAAAGCAGTTAACGGCATATCATGAGAAGAGAGAGCGATTCAGCATCCTAGAGAATCTTTCTCACGAGGCTCTTTGCTATAGGGCAAAGATGTCTGCATATGTCCGACGACACGATTATGATTTATGCTGAATCGAATCGAGACTGATTTATGAGAACGTAACGTTCTTAACTCTAGGATATATAGGGTGTTCATACATTTATAATTTACTGAAGATAAACATAGATATCAAAACTTTTAATTGAAATTTGTGCACACCTATTAACTCATGTGGTTCCATTACAAATTTTCAAATTTTGAAGCTTTTATAAAAATTCCATCAGAATGAAATAGATGCATTTTTGCCTAATAAAAGCTTAAATTTAAAAATCATCTGGTCATATTATTTACTGCCATGGTAGACGCGTTAAATGATTATCATTATCCCTTTTTACCCTATGTTGTTATCACATTTCGTTTCATTAAATTGAACAAATTATTCGATGAAAATAATTCTGAACCTATACTTTGATATGGATAAAATCTCAACAATTTTATTTTTTCCCTTTTCCCTTCTTTTTACCCTTTTTTTTCTTTTTCCGCTTAGACTGGGAGGGATCAAACAAGGGAACGCGTGGAGGCTTAGGCGGCGGCCTACCATCACCAAGATGATCAGCCACTGGAGAAATTCCAGCGATATCTTTGATCAGATTTCCCGCGGGACTGGTATCAACTATCATCTCTCGATTTGCGAAATTATCCGCAGGTAATACGCTCATCCCTAGCTTCGACGAGTCTTTAAAGTTACATTTATACTCCGTTCCATCGGGTTCCATTTTGAAGAGGAAACAGTTGGGCGCGAGAGCGTAACGCATTAACAAGCATCTGAATCATAATATTCCAAATGTAATGAATTGATGTTTTAAAAAAGTTTTTGGAAAATTTATAAATCGACGAGTTTTCTAGGATTGAGAACATTTTTCACTACCTTCCTAAATTGAAAATTGTTATCTCGAGACCTAATCGACCAGCGAAATTTTGACCAGTATCAATAAGATCGAATGGTCCTCTGAACCTAAAAGGCGCTGGGTTTTCAATAAGCAGGGAGCCCTGAAACATAAAAAGACAAATTACTATACTGATTTCTCTAAGATTTAATAAAATGAACTTACCAAATCGCAAGCGCATCCGCTAAGATGCGTTCGAAGAGAACAGATAGGGAAATTATCGTCCATTCTGAAAACACCAATCCACAATGGACATTTCTTCATCTTCTTAAGTAATTCTTCGCAAGTCATCGAGAACTGAATGGACTGGCCAGCTTCGAAATCGTAAACGTAAATCTTGTCATCTTCTTTGCTGGTTCGCTTGCGTTCCTTCACTTCCGTCACTGGAAAATTAATAAATACTACTTTCGTGAGAAGCGTCGATCCTGTGGAGTCAGTATACACTTCCTTGTTTAACTGAAGCTGTGACACACAGACGTCTAAAAGATACAGTCCAAACATAACAATAAATTCTGTGCGATAGGATACAGAGAACGTGTAATGTTCTTTATCTGTAAGGTTATAATGAACTTGAGAATTTTACGAAATGAAGTTGCACCAATTATAAAAGAATAATATTTTAGGTACGATATCAGTTTGTCAAAATTATTTAACAGGCAAAAGGATGAATAGTGTAGGAGTTTAGTGGAGGGGGAGACGGTTTCGTCTCCCCGGACGCGTTTGGTTCGAGCCGGGGACCGCTAGGTGGCGGCAAGGATGACAGTGTTCTCGCTGGCGGTCGCCCGGCATGCAGTTTATAGGAGTTCCGAATTGCGGTGTGATAGGTGTCTGTTGTCAGCCCCACTGACGAGTCTGACAGACGATCCCGAGACGAAACGCCTTTTTCTTCCCTCTCTTACAATAGGTACGTCGAATGTGGTGCACAATAACGTGCAAGCATTCTCGATGCTATTACTTTTCGTGGGAGCTGTTAATTGGCGTGCGGAAAACACTCGCCAGGATGGAAACTAATTATTATTATTAAGATGTTCGAGGACGAGCTTGCGTTACCCGTTGGTATCCTTGCGGTTCTACCCCCGTTGGTATTCGTATTATACACTTACCAGTTCATATCCTGCAATTAGGATATCGCGTAATGAATCTTTCCGCGTTTTCCTGCCGTTTCGTTCGACGTACGTTACACACCGATCTCGTGACAGGGGTTGTTATTTCGTATTCTCGCTTAATGTTCACCTGTCACTGGAGCAGTTAAGTGATTCGCGCCAATCGTTTCGCGTGCTCCTTGCGATTGAAATGTTTTTACAGAAGCCTGCTTGATTTTTCATTCAAGGGCTTACTATTTGTCAAGATTATTGGACAATCGGAATGATTCTTGACGTTTAACTTTCATTTCCACCGCTTTGTAGATACTTGAGAGCGCTGTTTTATCGAAGATATCTTTTCCAGTCTTCGTGGTGAATTAGGAAGAACATTTGGTGATATTACCGCGGTGATAAAGAACACTGTTAATTTTCAGTCCTGTTCAACCGATGACGTTTATCCTCGCTACGATATGATATCTCAATGATGGCTGTTGAATTTGCATCGCACCGAGAGCGCGGAACAACGCCGGTGTTAACAAGCGAAAGCGTTAACGAGAGAGTGTGTTAACGAGCGAATGACTCGACGAGCGTGACAAAAAAGAAAAATTTACAGGCAGTAACAATAACACTTGCCGTAATTCAGCCCCGTTAAAGTACCTTCTTACCTGGCTCGTTTCAACTCTCGGAAACCAGAGCCAACAAAGGGAACTATAACATTCATTCTATCGTTTCTAGATCGTGTGTGGCGATTTTCCAAGTATTTTACGTGGCAGTTCAAGGTGCATTGAATTGAAGCAATCAGGGGTTTGAAAGATAATACTATCTGTTTTCTTCTAGTACATGGGGTAGCGATTGATAAGTGGACTATGAACTTAAAATGCGATAAAGTCTTCCTCTACATCGTTTACATTGCGATTATTTCAAAGATATCTGCATTTTCTGATATTTTTAATTCGAATCACTATCACCCAAATTTCACGTGATTTAATTTAGGGGTATCGCGTGTATCAGCATTTCTCAACCCTTTTTGGCCCGCGGACCGGCGGTTGAGGATAACTGCATTAGAGGAATTTGTCTTCACTGCCGTGCTAATCATAAATTACGTAAATTTAAAATTAGTTAAAACTATTTTTATTTTGCAATTTTATAAATTAAAATTTTATTATTATTTTTCTTTTTTACAGATTAAGAAAATTTTTTAACCCGGATAGGTAAAAATTCTCCGCGGATCGGTATAAGTTTTCATGAAATTATTCTATATTTCAGACTCAAGTGTTAATATTTTTATCTTTATTTCATAAAAGATTGATTGATAATTGCACCATTAATGAAACATCAAGTTTTTGCTCGCACTGTAATACACGTATTCATATCGTTCTTCAATTTCACCCCGCTCGTATCTTTCGATCAATAATTATACGTTACAAGGTACGAAATTTCATTAATATGTATTAAAAATTTTAAGTAATAGTTTATTATCAACGAGCTTGAAGATATTATTAAAGACCACTTGTTAAACGATAATTGGAACCAACAAAAAGTTAAAAAGCTATTACTTTTATTTTTTATTAAAACAAGTGAAATCTGATATAAAATCAAATTTTCTGTATTCATATTTTTAAATTTACTTTTGCTAATTATTTAGAGTTTGATGCTTAAAGCAATGATTCGATACATTTTATATGAAAGTAATCATAAAAGAACATTTTAAATGAGGAAATCCAGTTTCGTTTAAATTATCACGAACGCCTTCGGTAGATTTGTGAAGATGAAGAAAAAATGGAATTATTTTCATTCTAACAGACAACGTATTTTTATAATTCATCCGCGATGAAAATAAATTTCTATCCAGGATCAATTTAATGGTCTGCTGATGTTTCTCGCGAGTAGAGTCGAGCGTTCGCTTACCAAACAGATTAAAGCAGGATTCCATCAGGAATCCTAGCATCGTGGATGCCTAGCATCGATACGTTAACCTGCTTGTAGTCTGGCATCAAGGCTAATCTTCAACGCAATCACGTTCACGAAGCAATAAGCGAGACGAAACATCGCACGGTCTTCCCATAGACGCAAAATAAATTCCACGGGGTCGTTCGACGGTCTGACAAGTATCCTCGTGGACGGGAAGCGTCCTTGTTAGTTATGGCCGTGGACAACGTAAGCTGTGCAGAAAATCGCCGATAGCTGGAAACGGTGGAATCATAACTTCTTACGGGGCGACGATTACTCGAGAATCGCGAGATAAAACCCGGCCCCATCCCGACGCGTTCACCTTTCTCTTTCACCCTCTTAATCCTCCTCATTTACCTCTTCCTCTTTCTGCCCTCTCTTCTCGCCTCTTCACGGTACACCCGGTACTTTTCTTCCTCTTCGTTCGTCGTGTTTCCTTTAGCCTCGAAGCGAATCTGCCCCGACTTCTCGCATGCGAGGAGAAGGTGGGCACCGTTTTGCCGATAACGAACTGGTTAACACGCGTTCATTATCCGCGGCCACGTAGCGTAGGTATATTAACCAGGCTATACCGACCGGATTCTCTACCTGCCAGTGGCCACCACCTCGTAATCATTTCTTTCCGTTTCCCCTTCTTTTATAATTAGATACGCAATCGGTCACACGCTGCTCTATCGAATTCCATTGAAATACCGGCTGCACAGCCGAACGTTGTTTCGATAACTAATTGGACTGTAAGTTATCGAAGTTTCTTGGTTTCGGCGCTCATCGTTCACCATTACCTTGTAAGGGCGGGCAGTTACCCTAACGCCATTGCCGTTCAGGACGAATCGGGCGATAGCTGTTTTACTGCTTTGGTACCCTGAAAAGATAGCTTTAAAAGTAGTACCTGCTTGGTGGAGATGAATAAATCTTTCACAGCATAATCTTCAGATCAACCTGCGTTGTTTCTCAATATTTTAATTGACGACCTCCTTACATTACAGCCCCGGAAAACATTTCGTCTGGTTCTCAAAAGTAGTCTTGAATTATTAATAAAGAAACACTAAATAATGAAACTACTACTGCTATTTTGTTCAGAAGTGTATACTTATAATTAGGTGATATCGAAACACAGAATGACTGGTGGACATTATTATTGGTAACAGATAACTACCTACTTACGAAGAAGTGTAAGTGCAAGATGTACATGAATGTATTTGTATATAATTGTAATGATTAATGAAAAACGATCGAAAAGATTTATATTATCCGTTTAGATACAAAGTCATAGCAGAACGGTTACCTTCAGACCGACATTTATTATTTATATTATCAGATTGAACTAGACAGTTACACCGTGCTACAGTGGTTACAGTTTCATAATGGTATTCCATTTCTTTTCCCAAGATTTATAAAATAAATCGGATCAGTATTATCAATTACAGTCCGCATATATAAGGAGAATAAATAAAATTAAAATGTAATTTTTTGACCACGGCGAAAGGCGAAATAGAGCAGATGTCGAGAATGAATTGATGCCTAGAGCTTCCATTTCAAAAGCCTGAAAATTAATTAAAATTAATTAATCCGAAAAATTGAAGCAGATAGGTTTGTAGAGCAAGAAAAAGACTTGCGAATGCATATATATACTTTACCTAAGAAAACACAAAATTGGGGGAAAAATATAAAATATAAAAAACGCGGGAATTTATTACACAACCTAATAGGTATAACAGATTGTAATAATGGATATCCTTTATCGCTTCTATTTGCATAATTGTTGCATAGGAGGATGTAAAACGGTTCAATCAGCACCTCGATAAACGAGTTTTATCTATTTTTATGCACTATATATGTAGCAGCAACAATATTAATATATTACGAGCGGTAGTTTTCCACTTTTGGAAAAAATTCGCCTGAAGAAATTCAAGAGAACCTGATTTTCTTCTGCTGGATGAACAAAGCACAAAAAATATATTAAAATTTAATGCGATGAAATATCGAGAGTTTGCTAACTCGTTTTTAATAATTCTTCTTCGCTTTTGAAACGTTAGGTTGTCTTCCAAAAGTTAAACGAGCGATTTTGATATTTATGAGCGATCAATTTTCATCCATACCAAAATTATTATTATTATTATACAGAATGTTTCAAGCAATTAGATCAGGTTGCAGCTCAAGGACGGTCTACCTTAATCCTGGAGCTGTTGGCGAGTGGAACGGCACGGAACGAACAGTCGCAGTCGTAGAGGGAAGGCAGCATTAGCGTGCTAAGCAGATGCAGATGAAACAAATGGATTTGCTCGGTGACCATCGTAAATCCACGGTATCGTTGACACGATCCGTACACCCTCGCACGAACCGTGTTACGAACTCCGTTACGACCTTCTGCCTTCTACCTTTCTTGCCCTTTCCTCCTTCCATATATCTACTCAGAAACGGGCCATCACTAGCGCGCTACGTTTCCTCCGTGTCATTTTTCATTTATCC